GCCATATGATTTCCAGGGATGATTCTGCTTAGCAGTTTCATGAACCTTAATGTCTGTTGTTGTTTTCATGCGTCTGTAAGCCCTGATTAGACTGATGTTTGTCGCATCCACTTCCCAAAAGCCGACTCTCTCAAGTAAATTCAACAAAGGCTGCCTTCTCTGCCTGACTCTCCCAAACAACAAAATATAACGACTAAAACCAAACTTCCTGCATGCTGGTTTTGTTGTTTACCTCTAGAGAGACGTAGTACGATAGATCACCACTAGGAGGCGAGAAACTGTGCTAGTGTGGTGTGTAAACGGTTCGTAAGGAACCGAACTCGGCACAGATCAGTTTGTAGAGTGTAGTGTAAATGGGGCTTGTGTCCCATATCTATAATTGCAAAAAAGGATCTATTATTAAGTTTCATTTTTATGATATATCAAATGTCTAAATCATGTCAGAAAATCCCCATACTCACAATTATGCTGGTTGCCATTGCAGTGTTTGGAGAGATGATGCTCAGGAAGCCTTCGATGTCACACAAACTTTACTCAGGACAACATCTTAGTCTCAAACTGATGCAGTCAAACTGGAACAAAAAAAAAGAAGAAATGCAACTTAAGATGCTGTTCTGAACTTTTTTTTTTTTTTTTTACCCAAGAGCTATAACAAACAGAGCTGCATTTGTTAAAACTTTGTTTTCAGTTTGCAGTTAAATATAAACGAAAATGAAAAAGAGAAACCATTGCAGCTTCTTTTTTGAAGTAGCATTTTGAGTAAAGTGAAAATGAAAGGATAAAAAGATAAACACCAAGCATCAACGCTCTGTCCTAAAGCTTTCTCCGATTTTCAATAAACTAAAAAAAGAAAACAGCATCAGGGAACCTGCAGTATGCCGATGCATCTACAGACTGCTATATAATGGTAAATGTTTTAAGTGAAAGAGATAAAAAGTTACATATTTAAGGGAAAATGTAGCTGTTTGATAGCAAAGGTCCTGAGATATGCCCCAACCAAGCAGGCCAATGCTTTAAAAACTCTCATTATCAGTTCAGCCTTTCACATCTTGTCAGGGCCAAGGGGAAGTGTGCTTAGCCACTGAGTTATTATTAGGCCTAGAAAAAATGTGTGTATGCTTTTGCATGTTCTTATGTATATATAAAGCAAAATGACATGAAAAACATCTTACCAGTGTTTTTATTTATTTGTTAGGCGGTCCAGGAGGAATTTGGGGCTATGTGCAATGCTTTGCAATTTGTTGAATATTTTACTCAAGTTCCAAACAGCGTGTTAGAAAACAATTCATATATCATATATCAAGGAGAAACCATAATACTTCAGTGTGATAGGACACGTCTTTTTAGACTGTTTTTAAACAGTTAAAGCGGGAGCAGTTTGTGAATGTGCGTTTGTGGACGTTAAAAAACTGTGAGAGTTCCTATTTCAGGTCATCTTAGCTCCTTCTCTCATTAAAACTTCCAATACTCTGTTTAGTTTAATAGCCTGGTAGTTGTGTTATACTCTTTTACTGAGCAGCAACCAAAGATGTTTCATACCTATTGCTTTAAACTGTGCTATAAGGAGATATCTTGTGTGTTTTTACTGAAAAATATGTTTAAATAGCCTTTTTATTTCACAATTTATAATTAAAATATTGTTTCATAAACAGACTAACACTTCAGTAATTCAGGGCTGATGCATTTATAAGCCTATAGCGTATTTTCCTGAATGAATTTCGGGTTTGATGTTCTTGCGATGTTTCTCCAGATGTGACATCAAGCGCATCCAATGGGTCCTACCCAAAAATTGAAGCGTTATATTCAAAGATCTTGTGGAAGCTACCATCCAGACACCAATAGCAACTCGAAGTAAAGTGGAAACAAAAAAAATAAATAACAAGTATGAGCTACAAGAGTTCTGTGTTTTAGCCATAGGTGGAAGTATCAAAACTCTGTCATAGCTCTTTAAACTCACACATCTGACATAACTGCTTTAAGGCTTTCACAGATCACCTAAATTTACACTGAATTATATGAAATACACCGTTTGGACTCTACTAATCAATGTGATGTGATGGCAACTAGTGTTGCACTGATACTGATACCAGTATCGGGCAGGTCCCCGATACAGCATTAAAATGATGTATCAGCAAGTACCAACAAATAGGGCACCGATACCATTTTGAGAGCCAAAAGTTTCTTCAACTATTGTCACCCATTCCAGGTAGGCAATAAAGTTCTACTGGATTCATTTTGTATTAGTCATTTTCCTGCTTTACAAAGGTAGGCAGCAGCTTGACAAAGCCATGATGGCAATTATTTTACATCCAAGTAGTATGCAGTTCTTCATACATACACACACACATATCAATTTCAAACAGATGGTATCGGTATGGTATCGTCCGATACTGCACAGTTGTCAGGAATCCAGTTTGTGTGGTCTGTTTTTGTGTTTCCTTTCCTCCTCCACCAGGTGGTGCCTCGTCCTCATTGGGTCTCCCTGCGCACCACCTGGTGGAGGAGGAAAGGAAACACAAAAACAGACCACACAAACTGGATTCCTGACAACTGTGCAGTATCGGACGATACCATACCGATACCATCTGTTTGAAATTGATATGTGTGTGTGTGTATGTATGAAGAACTGCATACTAGGATGTAAAATAATTGCCATCATGGCTTTGTCAAGCTGCTGCCTACCTTTGTAAAGCAGGAAAATGACTTATACAAAATGAATCCAGTAGAACTTTATTGCCTACCTGGAATGGGTGACAATAGTTGAAGAAACTTTTGCCTCTCAAAATGGTATCGGTGCCCTATTTGTT